AATTGAGTAGTATTTCGAAATTATTTAATTTATAAATATAAAATAATACCTATCATATGATTACTACTGTAATTCTTCCAATCATAACTCGGATATTAAAACATAAAATAGGTAACATAAAAAGTAAAAACCAACGAAAGTACTCGGATAATAATATTCTCACCTTTAACTTTGATAATATAGGTMAATATTTATTTATTATAATATAATTTAAGCAAACAACCAGTAGCGTAATTTTGAAGAAAATGTGGTTAACTTGCTACMTTTACATTTTGGTGAGGATTAAGGCATTGTTTACCGCCCCAAGATATGCCAAATGTAGAAATCKTATGTAATGCCATCTACATTAAAGAAAGAATGTAATTAATCTTTAACATACTTTCATAAAATAAACATATTTTTTCGTTCAAATTATTGCAAATAACATTTAGTTACTTCACATTTCTTCTAAACATAAAAGTATTGTCAACATTATTATCGCATCATCTAAATTTATAAAAATAACCCAATTAATGTCATGAATTATGATTACAGGTTAGGTTTTATATCAAATCATAGWAGGTATAGGTCTTCAAACAAGTTATATCACCTATTTTGTATGAACTATTATATGTTGTACCTAATATTATTTTTTATACTAGTGGTGCACYGGTACCTACGATTTGTTTCCAAGCCACGCGAAATGAGTATATGTGTACAAACAAACAATAATTAGTTAAGTTAATGGTTTCGATTTCGGAAAATGAACTATTTTGCCTTTCTCTTCTCCTAGCTATCACCATTTTACTCCACAGCAGTAATTGCAACACATCATTGAAATAATGTTGAACGTAAATTACGATAATATAATATAATTATGTTATGCATTAGTTACATAAGACGAAGACAATGTCAATAAAAAAAAAGTCATGCGGTATGACATTCTCAAACGTATAATAGGTAATTATATTGATATTTGTAACCGATACGTCATTAGAATGGTGAGTTATGTAGGAATAACATATTTGATCACATTTCCAATATTATATTAATATCAGACGATAGTTATTCGTTACTATAATGTTTAAAAATATATATATTATACGTTATTCTGTGCGTCGATCGACATAATATTGTTTAATTTAAACGACACTTTTAGTGAAGTACCTATAATATGATTCGACCATTGTATATATTTTTTATTAACCGTATATTATGTCTCCGTTATCAGTCCAGTACTTGGAACTTTAAAC